CTGACAGTGCGGTGGAAGCTATGTGCTTGTACAAAGAGTCTCACATCCATGTTTCGCCGGAAGATCACTCTCCCCTCCACGCCCGTGCTCGGAGAGCGAGGTCAGGTGATGAAAAGGATGCGGTTGATTGGTCCGGTTAGCGCTTAGCCTCCTCTTCACTGTCCACTTCGAGATGAACAGAGTATAGTCTGGTTCAAGAATGGCAGCTGCAGCCAAAGGTCTAGATTTTTCTGCAGGCTGTTCAGTATGTATGTGATTGGACCCAGAGTTCAAGATGCTAGAAATCCAATAACACGGATAAGTTTAATTAACCCCTTAGTTGTTTTTTTATTTTTGTCAAATTTTAACCCTAAACCGTTTCTTTTTTTTTTACACGTCAGCCTGGATACATGTCTACAAGAAAAAAAAAAAGAACAGGTGCTGCCCTATTTTGGCAGCGCCGCAAGCTACCTAAGCTCTGAATCAGCCTAGGTCATCCAAAACAGTCGAGGGGCGAGCGAGGGTGCGCAGACAAGCTACACTCGTCCGAAATGGTTTGGGGACAGCTCTAGGTGGACGAGCTAGGCTCACACAAAACGATTAAAGGGTTAACTGGCACAGTTCAAGTAAAAATGGAAATGAAAAAATTGAACACACTATCTGGCCCTCTTCGTCGCCGACACCAGTGTTGCACTTTCCTTCTCCTTAGTATTTGTGAGTGATCGTAACTGAGCTAGCTTAAACCAATCTAGGACAGGGCTTTCTGCAGTCGCAGCCTTCAAAAGTAACCGCGATTGTTTTATTGATCCTTTTGTATTACTTGTATCTGCTCACTTGCACGAGGGTCCGACTTCAGGAATAGGGCTGTAGCATTGATTTTGGAGCCGGCCCTTTCAACAAAAGAGGCTGGTAGGAATGGGCTTTTCATTGTGGTCACCAAAGCCATGCTTCACTGGATCTCGACGTTGTCATAAAGGTGCTGCTGGCTTACCTTTCGCTGGCATCGTTTGCGTCATATAAAGATTTTCAAAATAAACCCATTTTTTTTTAAACATTTGTGGCATGCCCTGGTCAGTGTCCTAGAATATTTTTGGGCGCTTTTTTTTTTACAACAGAGCTGTTAAGGGCTAGGTTCCCCTGGATTGTGTCCGGTACCAAACAAATGTTGACACAAAACTCTGAAAAAGCTGCGCCATCTATGAGCGACGGCGGCAACCAGACAACCGGCTTGCCGGCCTCACTCGCAGATGGCGGCCGCCTTTCCACTCTGCTTTTCACCAGAGTGGAAAGGCTGAATTTCTCTAGGCATCGTCAGGCGTCGTCCTAGAAGTCGTCCTTGAGGTCGTCCTAGACCTCGTTTTTGAGGTCGTCCTAGAGGTTGTCCGAAAGGTTGTCCTCGAGGTCGACCTAAAAGTCGTCCTTGAGGTCGTCCTAAACGTTGTCCTCGAGGTCGTCCTAGTAGTGGTGCAAAACTATCGATAGTGTCGATAGTCGCCATAAATCTGACTATCGATAGTACTATCGATAGTCGACTATCGAAAAACTATGGATACTACTATCGATAGTCGACTATCGGAAAATTATTGTTAATCGACTATCGGAAAACTATCGATAGTCGACTATTGTAAACCTATCGATAGTACTGTCGACGGTTTACTATCGATAGTTTTGCGACACTAGTAGTTAGCGTCGCTCCCTCTTCTCTTTTTCTCACTTTATTGTTTCAAATGGGACACCAACTAGCCCAAGCACTTACCATCCCAACTTTGGTTCAGCTTTCAGTGATGACGAAGATGGGAGTTTGGGCGAAAAAAGGAAGGGAGGCAAGCGGCGGTGCGGCAACTGTGTTTGCTCTAGTAATGCAAAACTAGCGATAGTCACCACAAATTTGACTATCGATAGTACTATAGTCGACTGTCGAAAAACTATCAATAGTCGACTATCAATAGTTCTCCGACACTATCAATAGTTTTGGAAACTATCGATAGTATCGATAGTTTTGCATCACTACGTCCTAGACGTCGTCCTTGAGGTCGTCTACACGTCGTCCTTGAGGTCATCCTAGACGTAGTCCTAGACATCGTCCTCTGGGCGCCGTCCTTGAGGTCGTCCAAGAAGTCGTCCTTCAGGTCGTCCCACAATAGTTCAGCTTCGCTGGCCTTCCTTCTTCATCAGAGTGGAAAAGCTGAAAGCTACCAGTCTCATGTCACACTTACATTGTAGAAAGGTTGTCTTGAAAATTGCTTGCCTCTATTTCTGAAATACAGGGAGTTCCCAAGAAATGAGAACCAAGTTTTTCAGGCTTGGGTAAGTAAACTTCATCAAAGAAAACTCAAACTCCGTGAGAATGTGACGGTAGCGGTTGGGATAGAACGCCAAAGTTCGAGAATACAACGTTACCTGGATCAAAATTGAGGAAAAATTAAATTTCTCTATGAGCCGACGTCCACTTAAGCCCAATATTGTTAAAACAGAACTCGGCATCAAGGACACTTGTGGGATGTATATGAGTGGAAAACACTTGTCAGCAAGAGGACATTAATTTCTTCCCTGCTGACAAGTATTTTTTTTTTTTTTTACTGAAATAGACGCTACAGGCACCCACTGTGCCATTTCTTGTTTTGACAACAATAATAATAGTAATAGTCTTTATTTGCACAAACAAGTGTTTTCCTGGGGGCGTGCGAGGCGAAACAGAAAGGCAGAAGCCCGTACGCTGGAGTGTCTGTTGGCCCAACCTCCAGGAAACAAAAACAAAGCTAAACATAGCAAGAAGCACGTAACATACAAAAAAGACTACACAATGGGTCATGTTTGCGAGGCCCCAGCACGGCCCGAGTGTCCTCAAAGGGCGTCCAAACCGAAATCACGAAGCGCACTTAGGTGGCTTAGGTGGATGTCAGCTCATACAGAAATTTTGCTTTTCTCAACTATCTTTTGATCCAGGTAATATCATGTTTTCAGGCTTTCGCATTCTATGCCCACCGCTAGCGCCACATTCTCACGAAGTTTGAGCTTTCTGCGATGCATGGTTAATTTGCTCGTGTTTAAGAACACGGTTCTTGTTTCTTGGGAACTTTCTGTACTATTGCTAGCTGCTTTTAAAATTTTTCTGCATCACATGTGGCAATTTGTGCACTGATCTATGCAGTTTTGAGGCATTCTTAAGTTTTGCCCAATCCAATCCAAGTGCTTGGATTAGGAGACCGTGCATGCTACATGCACGGTCTCCCAGTCAAAAAAGTCCAGGTGTGCTCCATCTGCAGGGAAAGTCATATCCTCCACCTTTTGAGATTGTCAGCATGCTTTGCTAGTAGGTTACCTTCACAAAACGAGGGAATACTACACAAGTTTCCGGAGGCAAATCAAGGTTAAATGTACAGATGATGTCATATCTGCGGACAAAGGCTTTCTCAATGGACCATATGTGAAATGTGGAGTGCCATCTAATAGCATACCGAGCGCTACATCCACCATCTTGGTAGCGGCAAGAAAAGGAAACCAGTGGCCTGACCGACAAAGAGCCTATGTAAACAAGTGACCGCGCTTCGTGCGAGAGATGCGATGCCAGCAGGTTGTTGCCTTCTGCTGCGGATGCAGCGATAAGCCTTCAATTTGTGCGTGACATGAACGCAAACATAAACGGGGTTCACAATTTTTTCTTATTTTTATTGGTTACTGAGAAGCAGTAAAAAGACTTTTAAGTGCTCAGGCAAGCTGGTTGTAGCTAATCATGTTGAGACTATGGTGCAGAACAGGAAAAATACTTTTAGTCTAAGGAACAGACACAGAAGGGAAGGTCTCAAACCTAGCTAACTAATTTATTTCTCAAGTATCCTATATATACCCACACAGCCGCTCCCAACACCCTTCCACGCAGAGATCTCCTTTGTTGAAAGCTTTGCAATGCCTGGAAAATATTGCCCAGGGCAGTTTCCTTTAAAAGAACATGGAGCTTTCCACCAATTAAAACTTTCGCCAATAGCCACTAAAAAAAAATCCTTGAGTTGCGTGTACTAGCGTGAAGCAGTGTACCGCTAAACTAAGACCTCATACGTCTTCGTATTGAAAAAAAGAATTCAAAGTGTCCTCAGATATGAAAGGCATGATAGCCTAGTCCTTTGTCCACGTTGGGTGATAGGAAGTCAGAAAACAATTAAATTCCTGAATCTTACCCAGTAGCAGAGTCCCCACCCGAAATGCTGGGAAACCGAAACTCAAGAAACTTGGCGCTACCAAGGTGGCTGCGTGCACGGTGTTGCCAAACCACCAAGCAGTTTCGCATATTGTCTCTTGTAAATAACATCCTTCATAGCTGGCACGTGGAAAAGTGTGGACTAGTCTTCGCAGGGCACAGTGTTTGAAGGTGATAGGCTAAGAGGATCCTCACCAAACTTCTTCATAGTTTTGCGAGACGCTGAAGTGTTATTGAAGATAGAAAGTGCTCTGAAAGAGGAGCTGCCCACTGCAGTCTTATATGCTTCAAACGACCCTCTTCGTGACCATTTAGAGAAACCATGAGGTCACACATAACAGCTTCAAGACATCAGCGACCAACTACTTTTCAAGACAATGATTGGAAGTGTATTGGAAACCTGTCAACTCTGGCCTGAAGCACCTTGCAACCCATACACAGTAAGCCTAGAAATGTAATCATTGGAGAGAAAAACCAATAGGCATATTTAGGGAAGAAATATTGCTGAGCTACCACGTTTCCTGCAGTGAAATGCGGAGCACGTTTTTATTTGCTCTTGGTATGTCCTAGCATTCGTCATATCTGCTCTCTTGCACAGAACAGTGAGGACTCCATAGAGGGCCTGATTTCCCAGTGGCGCTCAGCAGCTCAGGACGCCTTGACCAACTTGCAAAAGCAAATGCTGGAGCCTAAGCCAAGTCTGAAAAACATGCTGGCAAACCTGAACATTGAGCATTCGCTGGTCGGCTACAACGAAGAGGACGACTGCTTCGCGTGATACGGGAAGCACTGAAACGAACTGCCCCAATAAAAATGAGGTGCTCTATCACGATTACTTGCAAGTTTTATTCTTGAAATGAAACTCTACAAAACCCATGCCATGTCTCAGTGGGGATTTGGCCGGCTTGGGTTGAAGGGATCGAACAGCCTGGGATCCTTGAGGAACTTGGCCATCTTGAGGTAATGTGGCATCAGACCTGTGGGCATAGGTAATTCCGTCTAGATTACACAAGGAAGGGTTACGCACGTGTGGGTAACCCCTTGACTACTGATCATGAGTTTCACTCATACTATTCTTTAAAGACCAAAAAGCCTGCAGAGTCTGTGTAGCATTTTCAGAACTTGTTTCGTACACTCTCCGGCCAACGGCAGCGCTACCACCATTGCTGCGCCCCTCTTGGATTGTTTTATGAATAAATTTTCCCCAAGGAAAAGCTCTATTTTCACATGCAAAAACAGAAAAAAATGTCTGGTTTAGTTGGTGAAGACAAACAGGAACTTTATTTGAAAGTGACGAGTACTCTACCATTTCCTATGACGAGTCATACCACCTCTGATATAAACTTCATTTAAAATCGGCAATTTGCATGACAATTAAAGGGAGCGTTCAGTTGGCCTTTGAATGTTGTTTGTTTCTCTCCACATTCCCGAATCTTTCCAATGGAGTCGCACAGTGAAAAACTACTTAATAGACACATCGCTAGGCGAGAAATTAATCGTGAGGGCAAGAAACAATGTCTGGATCCCAAGCGAATGTTTTCTTTAATTTTCGAAGCAAATTGCCAATTTTAGATAAGGCTTTCGCTGCAACTTAAGAAAGAAAAAAATTGGCATGCAATGGGTTAAGACAAGCCAAGTATATTTACCGCATTTGCGAGCTTTGAAGATCTCCGTCTTGACCCTCCGTTGCTGCTTTTCGCAGAGGCCGGTGATGTGTTTCTCGTATATCTTGCCGGTGTAAGATGACACAAACTGGCTCAGTAACTTCACATTCTGCAATTGTGGTTCCACAGTTTGTGCAAAGTTGGCCCCTGACAAAGGAGTCTCAAGTTATTCTACAAAAGCGTACGGCTCACCTTATAGTCGACATCGATGTTGTGCTTGCATAAAATGCACTTCCGTCCTTCCCTCTGATAAGGGTTTGGCATGTCAAAGTGTGGCTGCAGAAATAACGACGGAAGGTACAGCAGTCGAAAGAGGTTTAGTTTCGGAGATGCAGATCCCTTTGATGCCCCATCTCGACTGACATACCTAGTTGGCAGCTTTCGCATTTAAATTTAAAATTGCCACAAAAATTGGAGCAAGTGCCCACTTAAAATTTGGAGATAACCATGTAAACCGAGGGGATGGGTACTCCTTAGGTCGACAGTATGCAAAGATATGTCCTTCGCTTATTTTCGGAATGGTACAAAATTGAGGTGCGGGCGCTTATTGTGGAATGGGCGGACGCTCAGTACTTTAAGCTAATTCTCGAAAAGCTAGGGTCTATTTTTCGTAAACCTTTATTGCCCTTGCATCTGGACATTCTCTTGCCAGGAACGTGAAGGCGACAATGCTGCAGAAGCTGCGTGCAAGCTCATCATGCACCTAGCCCCATGCACAGGACCCAGTGGCCACTGAAACTAATCTGTGCTTCATTCTCGTCCCTTTCTGTCATTTTCGCTGCCAACCGCATCATTCAACACAAATCAATGAACCGTAAGAATATGAACCAAAGAATACTCATTGGGTGCAAGCTGGGTGCTCCAGCATTACTTTTGGTTTACCGAATTCTATGGTTGGCAATAATGCTGGTAAATAGTCATACAAAATGCAAGAAAAAAAGGGCACCCCCGAGTTATAGCTAATATTTTTCCGATGCACTTTGCAAGGCGAACGAAGGACACTGCCGACACATTTTCCTAAATTCAAGAAACTTGTGTAGCGAGGGTGCACATATGAAGAAGAAACACTGTTTTTTGGTGGTTGTTGCTACTGTGATATTCTTCCTCCACGAGGTTTGGCTGTGGGGGGCGCTGGTAGCCCTAAAGTACCGATGTGAAAAATTACCATGTCTTCATCTAATGGTGCTTCGGTTGTTTCCGACTTAGCCACTGGACTTGAAGCTGTTGTACTGTGCTGTTGACTCCTCAACGCTGAAAAAGAGACCAAGGGAATTCGCATAAACACCAGTGTGCTTTTACAGGGGTGTGTAGCGTTACCTGTTAACGAAGAAAATGTATCTGATTTTGTTCAACCTTCATAGTACCACTTTTCAGAATGTAAGGATAGAACACTGTAACGGTTCCTTCGAGTAATACAAGCTTTTGTAGTCGGTGTCAGTTTAAAAACGGCTCAACGACTCTGTCGCATGAGCCATCACCATCCGCGGCCCTTTATGGGACTTCGACTGCACGTGCTTGGTTTAAGCACCAGCGAAGTCATACAACTGAAGTTTGAAATAGGACCGGGTGGCGCTATAAAGGACACACGGGCCGTTCTAGACCTTTCCGCGTACATATAATGTATGTTAAGTTCGTAACATGCACATCAACACCACGGCACTGGAAAACGCGTATCAATTCACCCCAACTTAGAAGAAAAGCCTTTACCTCCACATATCAACGATTGTGTCCGGCAGAAGGTTAGACGAGCCCTTAAAGCAGGGATCATGTCGATAAACTGCCTTTCCTTTCGGCTTAATCAGTTTTGTAGAATAAAATTAAATTCCACCGGCCGCACGTTACACATTGTACGCACGCTTTACGCTGGATCGTTTTGTATGGATCGATAACTGGATGCCAGAGCCGTGTATTGAGAGAGTTTGGTCAATGGGAGGCGCGGGCAGAGTCAGGGCGTGCGGCAGAGTCGGAAAGAGGGCTTGGCATGCTCTCGTGACCAACCAGAAGCCGAAAAGAATCCCCTAGCGGTGGTAGCGGCAAACAGTCTGATCAAAAGTCTATGTTCGTATATGGTTTTAATAAACGCATAAGAGTAAAGTGTAGTAACTCTTTGTGGTTGAAAATAGGGTGCACGTGTTGTTTTGATCATGATCATGCAGAAAGATGTAAGAAACGAATGCACCGCGCAACTGCTCTGTTTTGCACGGAGGTTCGGACTAGAGTGCCTTCATACACACGCGCGCTTTTGCTTGAGTGGTGACATCTCAGCCATTTTCCCGCCCAATCGTTTCTTCATGCATTTTGAAGCGCGCCTAATCTGGTGTCACTCAGCTCGAGCGCGTAGCTTTGGCTAATGCATAGACGCCATTTTACCGCCCAAGTCAAGCACCGAGTGCGCGAGAGCGTCACGCGCTGGCACATTCAGGGCAACAATGGATGTCTTCACCCTTAAACAGACAGACATGTAGGCACCCTAGTTCGGACGGCGGATTCCCGGCCCTGGGCGCCTGGCGTACGGATCATGTCGATCGTTCCGCTAGTCGCACTCTTCCACCATCATTTTGGATTAACGTGATTGAAACATCACGTGTACCATATTTTCAGCCATTGAGAGTTACTCCAATGCAGTTATCAGGTTTGTTTCTCGCGACCACCGCCAGGGTATTATTTCCGGCTTCTGGTTGGTCACATTCGAATTTCTGAAGACGCCCTGGAACACGCCCAGCCCGCTTTCGGCCAATGGCGCCTCCTCATTTGTCTCCTATACTTCCCAACGAATGGCCAAACTCTCTACATATACGGCTCTGCTGGATGCCAGACCCGCTGGATGCTTACGGCATTGGTTGGACTCCTTAAACCAGGCGGCCGCTTGTGCCATCTAGCCTTTTTGCAATGGACTATGATGATGATGATGATGATGATGATCTTGCAGCTGTTCCCTTTGTATCGGGCGGTTCCGAACAACGTTCGTACCTAGCCAAAAAAAAAAAAATATATATATATATATATATATATATATTAAACAAGAAAAAAAAACTCATTTCTTCGCGTTCAATTTGATTTTGTCCTTCGCCACCAGTCCTCCAGTCTGCTTTTCGTTCTTCCGATTACTTTCCAGCTCCGTCCAATCGGCTTCGTGGACGCTGCGGCGCGCGTTTCAACCTCACTTCGAGGGATAGCAGCAGCATCTCTATCTAGAAACGCGTTCAGCGCTGACCCCGTCGCCGGTGATTGGAAGCCGAGTGCTTCCGCCAGCAATTGGGCTTGTGGAAGGGGCTGGCCAGGTGTCTGTCCGTTTTCAGGAGCGTAATACCACTGCACCGGATGGCTTGGTTGCAGGCTTGTGCATGAGAGGACGATGTGTTCGATGGTTTCATCCGCTTCTCCACAGGCCCGGCATGTTGTTGTTTCCACCATCCGATTATATTTCTGTTGGTACACTAGTGTTCTCAGCCCTCCTGCACGTGCCTCAAAAAGCAAGCGGCTGCCCAGGCTGTTATCATATAACTGAGCCTCCGCTGATATTGTACTTTTGCTGAGGTTATACACCCGTAGCGTTGACTTGCTCTTGGCCGCCTTTGCCCACTGAAGGACCTCCTCCTCACGCACTCTTTTCCGCACCTCCGTTTCCCACTTTCTGTCTGTATTGGCACTCACGGGCACTGTGAAGAAACCAAATTTTTTTTCCAGTTGGTATAGCCGCTTCCTCCATCTTGTCTGTATACTTGTAAGGTGGATGTATACGAAGAGTCGCTTTGCCCACCGATTTCGGTCCATGAATCGCAGCCGCCCGTTGTAGCCGATCTTGCTCGTTGCTTCTCTGGCTTCGAAGGATGACCACCCGAGGTCTCCTTGGACAGCCTCGTTGGCCACCATACCATGGCATCCTACGGCCTGCCTCCCGACGTCTCGCTGACGGCGCTCCAATATCTCCCGCACATCCCCGGGTACGCAGATAACAGCGTTGGCAAAAGTCAGTCCCGGTACTATGGCCGCTTTCCAAAGTTCTCGTGTAACAACAAACCGGTTGCAGCTCCACAAGTTTCGTTTGCGAAGACTTCCAAAACTGACGCGCCCCATCGCGGCGAAATACCACACAATGCACTCTAGGAACTAGTTGGCCACTCAGTTTCGGTTTCGACTGAGCAGCTTCATCTCATGCTATCACGCCGCGACCGAACGCGCTGCTTGCGTTTTCGGTTATCTGACTTTTCACGAACGTACAATACACTTATTCTCGAGCGATACGAAACGAAGACCGGGGCACTTTCCTTGGTTCCCGAAACACCGGATATTGTGCGTGCGTATGCGAACGTAGTAAGTCGTGGCTTAGTCACCTCACCCCTCGAGTGCATGTTTGAGCTCAATTTCAATAATCCCGTCTCGTACCAGTGAACTAGAACTGAAATTTGTTCATATGGAGCCTTACACGTATTTGGTTTGCCAAACGTCCGCTTCTTGTTACTTCATTGGGCGAAAAGCAAGCCGCATCCTCACAGGGTATCAAAGTTAAGCCCAGCGTTTACGCATGAACTTTTAGGGAAATGCAATAAATTCGACCTCACTACTGCACAAAAGTTACTGTGATGTCTTCCTCCTGTCATCATATATCTCCCACTCGAATTTTATGCTGATAGAAGATTAACTTTTCGCAAACGCTGAGATCGGCTAGCTACGACGGAGGCCCTAAAAGCGTCCCCTACTCGTCGCTAAGCCTTTTTGCACGAGCTTTTAATTACGCCCAAGATCTGTGCCTGAACGGTGTGTCTGAAATTATCTCGGCATACTCAGGCAGGAAGAAAACAAACACATAACAAATATTATGGCCATTAGCAACCGTCAAATGCGCTTTGAATTCGTTCGAGCACTTGTGTGAAGAATGTCGCACCGTGCGCCGGACGGGCGTGAACCCCTATGCGGTGCGCATAGGGGTTCATGCCCGTCCGGCGCACTTCCGGCGAACGGTGCGACATTCTTCACACAAGTGCTCGACTTTTGCTTTCTTAAAACGGTCTGTATGTGCGAACGTGCCTATATGATTGCAGGATAACTCTGTGCGCATACCAAGTAGCACTCTAAACTAACCTATAGGTTAGTTTAGAGACCTCAAATGACGCTCTCGGGACCAGAAAACGATCTCTTGTCGACGTGTCGATCGAAACCGAAACCATGCCACCCTCCTCCCTGGCCAACTAGTTCCCAGAGTGCAACGCGCGCCGTGTTGCATGCAGGGCTTTATGGAAGTAGTCTATTGGGAGCGTGCACTTTTTGTCCTATACTTCGTCTCACCTTAGTATGGACTATTGTTAGCCGCGCGTGCTAAAAGCGCGAGCTAGTTGCTTCGAATGAAGCCTCGGCGGCTGCGCGAGCGCTCGTGCAGCGAGTGCCCTAGCCAAGGCTGTCAAGGCTAGCCGCTCGCGCTAGCACAACATTCGAGGTTAGTCCATGCTAAGACGTGAGACAAAGTATACAATAAATTAAAACTCTTTATTTGTATCGTTTGCCAGCGTAGGAGATCCTGCAAGAATGCGTTGTATGCTTTCAGCATCTCTACCACGTGCGTGGTGGTGGCACTCTGGCCTCTCACGCACGGCTCTGCACTGCAACCAGTGTTCAAGATCGCAAGTGTGTGCTCCGACTTTTCGAAAGTTTTTTTTTTTTTAGTTTCTTTTTACAACAAATTCGGTGTTCGGTTCTAATCGAAGTTTAGTAATTCCATATTTTCAGAAATTAGGGAATCTTGTTATCTCACACTTCCCCACATCATGTCCACCAAATTTCTAACCTCCCCTTTGTGACCACAATTTGGCATACAGCAATATCCATATCCGTTCATTTATGAGCGAACGGCAAATTCACCCCGAGCGAGTACACGATTGTCTCTTCTCCACTTTCCTACCTCCTCGGCGCTAACAACATTTAGCGAAATTTAGCCCAATATGTCTTCATACTCAAGACTTTGTAAAGAGTAAAACGAAAGCTCCCCCCTCCCCCCCCCCCTCCCCCTTTTTTTCCAATTTAGCAAAGCGAACCCCCCACCTTTTTTTTAAATTTAGCAGAGCGAACGCTGGAGAGGAGACCTCCTCTCCAGCGTTCCTCCTCTCCAGCTTTCGCTCTGCTAAAGTGAGGGGGGAGGAGCTTCCACTGGAACACTGACTGGGTATTTATGCTCGCCACGGTTTTTATTTGTACATTACATACGAGAGACCAACTACCCAGAAAACATTTCGTGGCTCGAAATTCGTTTTCTTTTTTACCAAAAACAGCCGATCGAGAACTGGCCGGTTTGAGTCGCGCTCACTCTCTTCACCGTGACCAGGCACTGCAGGATTTTGTTTCGGGGGAGGGGGAGGAGGAGAGGAGGGAGGGGGGCTCGCCCATGACAAAATGCTGTATGAGGGGGAGGGGGAAGAGAAGGTCCCAGCAAAATCGAAGATTTCGGGGGGGGGCCGGGCCTCATGGGCCACACCCTGGCTACGTGCCTGACCGTGACCACGTGCCGTTTTTTAAGGTTTAGACACAACCACCACATATAATCAAAGTCGTAGGTCATCGAAGGCACGCACACAAGATTAAAAATAAAAAAGAAATATGATACCCATTTTTCGTGGCTTCTAAAAGGCTGCAAAAGGCGTTGTTTCGGGGGGGGGGGGGGGGGGGGGAAGTGGGGGGTGTGTCACAGCAAAGTGCCTTCCGCCACCTTTCTCTACCGCCCCAGTCCAGTTTCGGTTTCGGTTTGGAGCAGTTGCGTTTTTTTACATTATTAAAAATATATGTGACGCTGTGGCAAAATATTGATTGGGTAGTCTTCTTACACCATAACAAAATCAACTGCCAAAAAAAATGTTTTTTTTTTGGGTGTTAGTGTTTCTTACTTTTAACAAAATTT